CGACGAGGCGCGCCGAGGCTAGGTCGAGGCGCGCGCGTCTATGGTCGAGGCAAAATCGACTGGTAGCTCGAGGCGATTCTCCTCGGCTCTCTCTACCCTCTCCCCTGCGTTCATCATCGATTTCTCGTGTTTCTCAATGGCACGCCGCGCGCGGCACGCCTCTCTCGCTCGCGCCCCTCTCGCGGGAACCGCCGCCGCCGCCGACGCCGCCGACGCCACCGACGCAGCTTTCAAAGATCGATCGCGAGCGAGACGAATAAATGGATTTTTCGACGCGAGGCTGACTCGAGAGGGATGCAAACTCGTGGGAAGCCCACCCCGCGAGCTGCTCGGCTCGCCGGGGGCGGGAGACGCGCGGCTCGCGATTCATTTGGCCGCGATCTTTCCGCGAGATCGCGCGCTTTCGTCGCTTCCAGGCTCTCTTGACCCATTCGCGGAGCGCGCTGATCAATTCCGCGCGTCGCGGGGCGAAGAATTTTTATTTCCCTCGCGTCGCGCGGCCGTTGAGATTGCAATTCGAGCCGAGGGTGGCAGGCGAACCGAGATTCAAGGTGTCGACGCTTGGAAGCGCAGGGCAATTCTTCCGAGAGATCGTTAGGGAAGAATCGGCTTTACTGGCGGGTAGTTGTCGCGTCGAGTAAAGGGCGTGAATCGAGAAGTAGGGCTTAAAGTTTACGGAACCGGTGGCAATCGATGTCGCAAGACGTATGACCGTATCGACGCGCATATCGCAGTTTCCAGTCCTAAGGAGGTCACACTTCTATCAATTTGCTTGTCCCGCCGCCGCTTGAAACGTGCTCGATCTAATGCTCGACTGACTTTGCTCGCTGTCTTGGCGATGACTGCGTTTAGGATTCTATATGATGTACAGACTTCCGATCAATCCACGCGAAAACATAATACCATGGTAACGCGAGCGCCGGCACCGTAATTAAGAGTCGCTTCCACGTGACAGCGGATCGCGACTTTTACCGTCACGCCTGCCGCCGCCGCGGAAACTAGAAAACGCGTTGTCACGACGCCTGGAATCGCGGATCTTAATGCCATGGGAAACCGTGTATTCAGTCCGGTAATATTGTGTTACCGTTGCGAACGGATTGGGCAACGACGAGCGTTCGCCAGACGTGACGCTTGCGCTCCGGCAGCGGGCGATATATAATCCGCGCATCGAAGATTGAAAGGGAACCGTCTACCCGATCCGCTGCTTTCCTTTTGTCCAACTTCCGATCGCAGGATCGATAACGAGTAACGGTCTCGGAGAAAAAAACCTCGAAGCTGCTCCGACGATTAACCGATCGCGTTTCTTCCGTTCCAATTCGGAGATCGAACGACACTTTTCTGTCTTTAAGACGATTCTCAACTCGCGCGAACGTTTCGTTTTCTCGTTTCCAAGGCAACGCCAGAAATGAGAATAATCAGAAGACAAAGAAACAAACTTACTTCGATTCTACGAACCGATAGGCCGGCACTTTTAGGCAGTCACTTTCAGAATTCATCGATCTCAAATCTCCCGGCTGATTAACGTGCAATTACTCTGACGTCACACGTGTCCTATTTCAGGCGACACGTACTGTACGCACGGAATCTCGCTTCCTGCAAGAGAACGGCGACCACCGGTAAGAATCTTCGAATCGGCTTTCAATTTATACCCAGGACGTCCGACGATTAACCCCTAACAGCCAAGAATACGTAATCGGGCGAAATATCCCCGAATTCCGTCGCGGGGGCTTCTATTTTCGGCGGCGATCGATCGGGCGCAGTTAACAGTTGCCGCGTCGCGTCGCGTCGCGCCGCCCGACGCGGCATTAATCTCTCGCAGGACCCGAAAGATTGGAAAGCGGCCGATCGAGGGGGAAAAAAGGGAATCGCGGGAACGAGATTAAGCGGTTTCCGCGTCGCTCTCTCGGCGAGTCGAGGGTTGGGACGGCGTTCCGGAGGCTCGCCGTCGCGCGCGCGGAACGGTGAACTCTAACGGTGTCCAGAGATCTAGGTCGCTCTACGAGGATATTACACCTTCTTCCTCGTTTTCTATTTCCACGCGCGTACGCGCGAACATAAACGGCCCGTCGCGGACGAGGGAAGGAAAGAGCGGGACCGTCGATCGGCCTCGCGCGCGACGGAGAGACCGGCGAACCTGGGACGAGCGACACAGAGAGAGAGAGAGAGGGAGGAAGGTGGAGAAAGGACACGGAGACCGGAGAAACCTGCAGGCAAAAACGGTCCGACGCGGACCGCTCCGTTATCGTTCCAAGCAGTCTCCTCGTGCTTCCAGCAGCTAAGATTCTCGTGTCGGATTTCGATGGAAATCCACTCGGGGGATGAAGATCGAGAAACGATCTAAGCACTGATCGCGATCGAATCAACGATTTTCTGGAAAGTCTCTTCTTTGCGCGTGGAACGCTTCGATTTCGGGGACGAGCGAAGTCGGGGCAGCCTCTTCCCGGCGCGTTTCTCTCTTTACCTGTGGCTGATAGCTTTCGGAGAGGGTTCCGGTAATTAGGGACTCACGGGAAAGAATACATCGTGCGTGCGTCCCGGTCACCGTCGGTCCGTGGTCCCTGCTCGCACCTGGTGGTCCAGCGCCAGGCTGCTGCTCGCTTCAGCAGGCCCGGCGACCAGGGTTCGTACCTGCATCCTTGAAAAGAAAACAAGAGACAACAGACGGGAGGGGAGTTTGCGTTTCTCGAGGCAGAACACGGTCGGCAGGTCGGTCGGTCCTCGTGCGCCACCTCGCCGGCTCGCTCGTCCTCTCGGCCCCTCTTTTCGCTCTCCTAACTCTCATTACCTCCCGTCTTTCCTCTGATCCTCTTCCTCGAGAAGAGTCGTGGAAAGCCTGCGAAACATCGTCGAGACGCTTGTTTTTGTCGAGTTTCAGCAAAGGGGAAGGTCAACGGAGGTTACTGCCGCGGTGTACGGGACGGGGAACTAGTGCAACGGGGCTGGGTTCGTAAACTTACGGAAACTATGGTATCTTCGTAACTGAGAGGAACGCGTTCAACCGTTTGCGCTCGATGGATATGATCGCTCGAGAAACTCGAACTTTACGATTGACGTCGGATCACTCCTGTGATCGCGATGTATCGCCGAATTACTCGAATTACTTTGTATCGAGGAATGCAGATATAGTCTAGGTCGTGTTCAGGTACCGAATATTTCCACGGAATAATACGATCGAGCGCAAAGGGTTCAAGCAATAATTCGCCGAGAGTATCGAGTATTATTCCCCAATTTTCGCTTACGCGAGGGCTCTCGGAGAAGAGGGATGAACGGGGAGAATTGGAAAAGTCGGGGGATTTGGTGAGCTCGGCGGCGAGGACGGATACGAGAGAGGCGCGAGAGACGTCGGGTCGGGAGAGTGATGGGTCGAGTCCCTTCGGATTGGGAATTGGCTAGCGAAATTTGGCCGCGCGACCTCTCGAACCGCTGGAGAACACCAAGATCGTTCGACTGCCAGCTAAATGCGTGTATGTACTTCTAACCAGGGGGATCATTATATATACCGGGGGTGGACGGTGTTAACGGAGATAGTATCGATCTTGTTATCCGGATACATGTATGCTGGTCTACGGTTATCGGTGGCACGACAATTACAAATTAATAAGACAAACATTCCTTTGGTGAGTAGCGGTGTTAGATAGAGAGTGGTAGGTGACATACTAACGACGAATAATAAGAATAATAATGGTAATAAGAATAAGAATAAAGATAATAAGAATAATAATAAATATGTAATGTACATCAATATGTATGTATACATATATATATATTGTATGTGTATATATATATATATATATATATGTATAATATAAATATATAGATGGATAGATACTAAGACACTACAAGATACACGGTGTTCAATTAATGAAATCGAAAGACAATCGCTCTAGTTAATACAGGCCGGGCCACGTAAACGGGAAAGCCTGTTTCCCAATCGTCTCGCAGCAACTGGAAGATCGACAATGAAAATATTCGGTGAAACACGATCGTAAGAATCGTCGCACGAAACCAATATCTCCGATCACAGATTTATTCAACTCTTCGACGTTCCGTATCCTTCTCGTTTACGTGTCCACGCTCCGCGTATAAAAAACTGATGTGTATATATATAGAAGCGACAAAATGTTCTCTAGAAACCAATCTGCCGCACTACCAGACATAGTGTTCACCACACTGACAACGAGTTTTACCAGTTATGTAGGACTCGCAGATTAACGAACAATGTTCCAACTATAAGCGATATATATATATATATATAGAAAAAATATATGTACATGTACGTATATAGTATATATATATATATATAGATTGTTATGTATACGTGTAATCTACAGAAACAGCGATTATAGACCCTGCAGCGAACCCGATCGGCACGATTAATCGCGACGCCAGCTCCCGTCGCGTACGATCGGCTCTCGTTGGCTCGGCGAGGGGAGAAAAGTCTCGACGGAACGGGGAAAAACGCTGGGGCTGCGTCTCGATCCTCTCTCGACGTCGACTGCGACGGACTCCATAGAAAACACACGCTTTTCAGCGAACGGCATCCGTCGTGGCCTATAATTTCCACTCTTAAGATCGAGCGCTCGCTGAAAGCGTCTGACCTGAACGATCGTTTCTGCGACACCGACGATATCGCGCTGGAAATTCCGTGGAAAACGGATCCCGTCGCAACTGTAACTCATCGTTAGCTTCGTTACATGTTTATCCTGTCAACCTACGGCGGGACCAGCGGAGCTGCACCTCTGCACTGCACGGTTCGGCGCGGTGCGTATCGCAAATCTAATGTCGCTGCGATTCGAGACGGATAGAAGTGTTCGCTGCGATTAGATTAGACTAACGCGCACGACCATCGAAGAATTGCGCTTAGTAGCTCGAAGGTTAATGTTCTAATTATTCATATCGGACGTAGGAAGCGAGAGTTTCGAAGAGAAGCCAGAGAGAAGAATCATCCATCTTTCGCTCCCGAAAGCTAGGTATCCACCGATACGTGGACATCCGGAGAAACGCGACATCCGGTGGACCACCGGATCTCTTAAAGCCGACGAGCGGCGAGGCCGAGGTCGCGAAAAAGATGAAAAACGCGGCGGAGCCTCTGGATGACCCTGTTGCTTCAAGGTTGAGAACTGCCTCGAGGAAAAGTACGAGGGAGGAGAGATCCGGCGATGTCTCTTGAAGCGGAGCGCGTTGCGCGCGCTTGTCGCGGCCGGGAAAAGGAGGAAGCGGGAAAACGCGGAAGCAGAAAGAGCAACGCCGCTTCAGTCGGTTTCGCCTCGTCTCGCCCCGTTTCGACGGGCGGACGATCGGATCCGCGGAATCAAGGTCGGTCGGGGTATCGGATCGCCTGTCCATCCGTCTGTCCGTCTCTCTCCGGTTCCTCGGTGCGTCGAGGACACGTCGAACAATGCACGTGGAAACCCACGCATTCGACCTACGTGCAGTCGTGGGTGTTACGGATGCAACGCGACGAGGGAGCGGGACGCAGCGTCCCGGCTGCTGGTCGATAGCGGCAGACCCAAGATAGAGATACCACGCCGCGGTCAACTGTATTAACAGTCCGACGGTGGACCTGGGTCGATCGCGACCCGTATACGCATTCCCTGTCGTCGAATGCGTTTGCGTGCAATTTCACCGAATCTCCTCGCATTACTCGCTTACCGATCTGCTCGGAGAACGGTCGCGTAGCGGATACTTTCGTGACGAACGTCTGCTGTCTGTTGCTGGGAACCTGGCGCTCGTGACGTCATAGGGGCGGAGACGGGCGCTCGGAAAAATCCAATCGCAAGGCTGCCGCGCGACTCGATTGGTGCGCGTGAGCGCTTCGGCCAATCGTACGGTGGAACTGGGAATTCGCGCGAGGAAGGCGTGCACTGTAGGGTTTGACCACTGGGACGAGAGCGCCAGGTTCGCTGCAACGCGCAGAATGTTGGAAATGGAGTGTAATTTTGTATTTCGGAAACGAACGAGGTTTCGACGCGTGTACAAGTATTTTACAGTCTAGCCTGCGTGTTATGCAAATATTGCAGCGGTTTTCTTTTGGAACAGCCTGTATATTTGGGGACAAATTCAACTCTGTTCGTTTCGTTGTTCGAGTACGAACCGAGGCTTGTTCGTCGCGTTTCATTCGCGAAAATCAGAAGCTGCTGATCGCTCGAGAATGGGAAGCGCGTTCGATCGAACGGTTCCCGCGCGAATAATATCTGCCGGATCGCGCGCGTTTCTCGCGGAAGCGGGAAATATTTGCCGGATAATTAGAGTCGCGGCTGAGCCGGGCTAAATATCGGATTTTCCCTGGTCTAGTCGGCGGTATGAATTCGCGGTCGCGTCCGTCCCGCCGGCAGCGCCCTTCGTTATTCTAGCAATTTCGGGGGAAATCTCTCGGCGAACGTCATACGGCCGAGCCGCGGTCGAAAGCATTCCGAGTCGTGAAAAATCGGCTCGATCGGAATCGCTCGAGACGCGTAAATTCACCGCGGAACGGAACAGCGAGTTTCGAGAAGTTCGACGGTTCAAAGTTCTTCCTTGTTTTCGCTCCCATTCGAGAACAAATGGGAGGTACTCATTACTCTTTTATTCTTCGGACGATAAAGCCTATCGACGCCACTATGCCGACATTCGTTTTCAAAGTCAACGCTTCAGAGTTCCCGAAAAGTTCCCCTGGAAAAGAGAGAAGCCCTCCTTTTGTAAACGACCGTTCGTGTAAGCGTTAAAAATCTTTTCTATAGGGAACTAAGTTAGCCATCGAACTCTTAGGTATCCTAAGATAAATCATCTTTCATCGTTCACAGAATTGAATTCTCCTGTCGCGACTTTCGGTTTCAGCTACGCGAATCAGCGTCCATTCGAGGAACGCGCGAGTCACGCGAGCCACGCCGAACGAAAGAGCGTCAGGCAATTAGTCAATGAATCGGGACCAACGTCGCGCCGATTAATTAAACAACGGACACCGGGCCGCCCGGAATCTCGGCGCTGCGAGCGCCAGCTAGATGCGCGGCGAACGAAAAGTTAATTGCCCCGATCGCCGCGCCGGCTAAAGCAGTTCTGGAATTGCGCGGCGCGCACGGATTCCTCGTGACTCGACTAAGAAACGAACTGTGCGCGTTTCGTGCTGTCGCGAGCTAACGAGCGCGTCGCCGCGCGCATCGTCTTAACGAGCTCGAGGCGTACTACACGCGTCGCGAATTAACGACCTGGCCGCGGGGCGGGGCGACGAGATATCGCACGGGTTGCGGCTCTCTTCCGATAAATATGCCATCGCGAGCGTACACCCGAGCGTCTACGGTTCCATCCTTTCATCGCAATTCACCGCCATTGTTCGCTCGCGACGTGTCTCGTCTCGCGCAGATTTCGAAGAAGCCTCGGCGGAGCGCGTAAGAATGCGTCCTGTTACATGCGGCGATAGTTTCCGAGTACAGATATCTTCGACACTGGAACTACCAGTTCAATTGACTTCAATCGTCTATCGAGACTTTCGTTAATCTATAATTCAATTTATAGATTACCCTACTATCTTCCTCACATACCAACGAAATACGGTTCCTTCGGCACCAAATCAATCTCTAACACTAGAACTACCAGTCAAAATGACTGGTTTCGATTTGTTTCTTTCTTTGAATATTTGAAATGATTTTTGAAATAAATAGCTTCACTTGAGTACTATGAGTATCCAAAGAAACTGAAAATAATCTATTGTCACAATTTTTATAGAGATTACATATCAATCGTATCGAACGCTCGGTAGTTCTGGTGCTAAATTTCTGTAAAAAATCGCGCCATCGAAATTCCGCTGGCAGTGTTACGATCGCGGAACAGTCGCTCGACGAATAGGAACGGAATCGA